TTTTTCGTCCTAAGGAGGAAAATGAAATGCTTCTCAGTCCTAAAGTACCATGCGTAAGTACAATTAGTGCTTTGTTATACTTAACACAATGTACTAGGCCTAATATAGCATTTGCAGTCAACTTATTAGCACAATTTAGTTCTGAAACAACTCAACGACATTGGAATGTCATAAAACATGTCCTACACTATCATCGTGGAACTACATATTTAAACTTGTTATACTCAAAGCAATCAATAAATAGATCACATTTAGTCAATTTGCGGAATTTGGATACCAAATTCTCACAAGGTTGGTTCACAAATTGGGTATGTTTTCACATGTGGTGATACAATAATCTTATGGTGATCTACCAAGCAAGCTTTAATTTCTAAATCTTCCAATCATTATGAGATTTTTGCACTCTATGCAACGAGCCGTGAATGTGTCTGTCTAAGGTCTGTTGTCCATCACATCCGAGATATTTGCAAGCTCCCTTTGATTACAAATTCACCAACAACCTTATATGAAGATAATTTTGCTTGTATTTAGGGATGTGTGAAATACCTGATCACCCGACAAACAGATCTGAAACCTATCCTTTTGAATAGAAAATGGGCGGGTAATATTTATTTTGGGTTGGTTTGGGAAGAAAATATAGATTAACTGATCAAATCAGTTCGCTTGCGGATACCTTCAAGTCCAAATCCAAAATAACCGACCTGCCTAAATAGTATTTAATAATAATACAAAATATATGTATACACTCTGGTTTGGATTTTTCCTTTAAAAAAATTATAAAAACAAAAATATAAAAGCAAACTAACCCTAGACTTCCACTATCTCAGTCTCTTTTCTCTTCCACCGCTTCTCTCTTCTCTCTCTCATAAAACGAAAAACTTATTTTTCTTCTTCTATTCTTCATATATGGATCCACCATCGACCATAGAATGACATCAATGATAGAGTAGAAGTATATCTCAGCCCTATCGACCAGTATTTGAGTGATGGTTGTGAGGCAAACACTCTAGAATTTGACATTCTTAACTGGTGGAAACTAAATTCAGCTAAGTATTCCATCCTTTCTCATGTTGCAAAAAATGTGTTAGCTATTACAATATCCACTGTTGGTGCTGAGTCTGCATTTAATATAGGAGGGCGTGTACTAGATATATTTCAAAATTCATTATCTCTAAAAACAGTCGAGGCAATTGTTTATGCATAGAATTGGTTAAAAGATCTAAATCCTTTCGATGACCGAGATGCAATGGATTACATGGAAATCATTGAACTTGATTTAGGTAACATATATATTGTTTTATTTTTTCAACTTGTTATTATTCTTTATTATAGAATGTTAGTTCCCTAAATATAATCATATCTTTTTTTATGTTTTATCTTAGAACTGGATGAGAGTGCAACTCATGCAACTCTTATTGATGATTGTATTTAGGATACTGCTTTTGACAAAAAACATCTTTGGTATGTTTTTAATGTGATTTAGTATGTCCTTTATGTTCTTAATCTTAAGTATTTCATTAAGAATCATGGTGTTGTCTATAAATCTGTGTTTGCACTACTTCCTTTGCAGGTTACATCACTGTTGAGATTGACTGACTGTTAAGAGTCCTAATTTTTGGAATGGTGCACTACAAATTTTTGAAGCATATTGAGTACTGACTTTTGTATTTAGACTACTGATTTTTGACGGTGTAAATGGTTTACCTGTTTTGATTGTTGTGGTTGTACAACTATTTTTGAAGCAAACTTGCATAGTTGCTGCAGCCTACAGTTTATTTTCATTTTAATGATGATTTTTTTGCTCTTATTTAATTGAGCTATAGGTTGTAAAATAATTCATGGTACAGTAAAACAAAATACCAAATTGGTTTGGGCCTCAAATGATGTATAGCATATAAAATCGTCTTGGGCTTGAAAAAGATTTTTGGATGCACTTTAAGTTTATAGATCTAGTGGGCAAATTAACTGGGCTTGGGCCAAAGGAATTTTAGGTCTACTATAGATTTTAAGTCTGGGCTTGAAAATGATGTTCTGGATCCAATTTAAGTTTATACACCTGCTAGAAAAATAAACTGGGCTTGGGCTAAAAATTTTTTAGGTCTACAATAGAATTTAAGCCCACCCGTTAGCCAACCCGTAAAGCGACTGACATTCAAGGTCGGTTTTCGGTTCAATTGATCTTGTAATTCAGTTCAGCTCGATTTATCTTTTCTACTTTTGACTATAATTGGATCGGCTGGCGGAAGTAGCCACTTTCGACCCTAATTGTCAGTTGAACACCCCTACTTGTATTGCACAAATTAAATGAGGGTTTATTAAAGGTAATAAAACCAAACATATTTTGCCTAAGCTCTTCTACACACATGAACTCTAGCTGAGCCATGAAATTAAAGTAAAACAAATACAATCTAGTAACAATCTTGTAGATCTATTAACTAAAACTTTACCATCATCAACTTTCAAGAAATTGGCATATGACATTAGAATGCGTCAAGTTTGTGACCAATCCAATTTATTTCTTCTCAGGGGGAGAGTTTCAACAGGGAAGGTATCCATGTCAAGATACAAGACATATACACGTTGTATTCTTTTTTATTCGTCTAGGCGTTGTCCCATTGGGTTTTCCTAACAAAGTATTAATAAGACAACATTAGTACGTCCAATGCTATTTTAAGATTCATCTGAATATGTACTCTTTTTACTTCATTGGATTTTTTCCCACAGAGTTTTCTTAGCAAGGTTTTAACGAAGTATATTATTTTAGCATAATAGTCATCCAAGGGAAAGTGTTGTGAATATTACATTATATATATATATATATATATATATATANATGATTTGAACCTATAAAAAGAGGTTTTTACCATATTGAGAAATACACAAGTTGAGAAGTTTTTTTCTCTATATTGTTTTTGTAGTCTCTATAATTATCTTACTTTCACATTAAAACCCATAATAAATAATCTCCATAACTATCAGTCTCTCTCTCATTCCCATCCCCTTATTTTCTTCTTTTTTTTAGGGATATGTTTCAAAATTTTTGGAAAACTTTTGAAATTTAGAACTAAAATTAAGGAATGTTATTGTGTGTGTGTGTCTCTGTGTATATATATAAGATTTCTTATATAAGAATAATGTAAAATTTAGGAGTTTTACAGAAAATAATACTAAAAAGTAACACTTTTTTTTTTTAAAGTAACACCTTCAATTGACATGTTTGTATGCATATGTTGCTTCCTTAAGGCATGAATATTGATGTATTGATTTTATTAAGTCACTTTTATGAAGTTATGTTTTTTTTTTTTGAACATTTTGACATCACTCAAATCGAAGGTGCACTATAGTGTCAAACTTTCCATATGACAGGGACATTGTTTGAGATATGATTTTTTTTTTAAATTTTGGCGTCACACTTTCTATCCAATATATATGAAGTCACTTTTATAGTCACACTTTCAACGAGCACTTTCTTGACACACTTTGTTTTTACAAAATGTTGTTTTGCTTGAGTAACTGTAACAAAAACACTTTGCTGACTCACACTTTGGAGTCACACATCCTATATATTGAGTCAATATCATTTTATAATATTTTTGTAGAGTGTTGTGTTGCTTGATTAACCCTTTATTATCATAGTTTTAATTTATTTTGGCTTTTGTGTGTGGGTGGGCATTATTCTATGAAACCAACACAAAAGTAACTTGTCGAAGAAGAAAAAGAAAACATAATTTTTTGCTCAACAACCATTATTGTGGTGTTCATTGTTCAAATACGAAAATTGTCAAGAAAAAAACACATAAATACAACAATGTTAAAATTAACAAACAATCATTTGAATGAAAAAAGTAAACAAAAAAACTGACCAATCAAACAATCGGTTGAAACAAAAAAATCAAAAATAAAATGAAAGCATAATTTCAAACCTAGTAATGATTGAACATTGAAGAAGGAAAAAAAATCTAGTTGGAGAATAAGAAGAATGTTAATGGCTGATGGTTGGAGAAGAAGAAAGAAAATACGTTTGATGGTAAATATACTAAGAATATAATTCAAAATGGATGATGATATAAGGAATAAACATTAGATGTCAAATCTTTTGAGAATATAATTCATCCATTAAATTAGAAAATATTTAATATAATAAAAAAATTCAAAAAAAGCTATTAAATCTAATATACATGATTTAAGGGGAGGACAAGTATGCCAAAGAAAATTTAAAAAAAAATAAAAATGTGTACCTGGACGCAATAAAGTTAGAAAGATGAAGATTAAGTGACTTTACATTAAGAGTTATATACTTAAAGGTCAATAATTATAATTTAGTGTGCTCTTTCATAATTCTCCGTTTTTTTTTATATATTTTTTAATTTTTAAGCATGTGGCCTTACCGCGCGGGCCTACTCGATGCACCGTATATCGTTAAAGGTACTAATTATCAGGTCAGCCCGTGACGCCCAGCGGAGAGAAACCTATTACCATTAGCTTATCACAGGCCATTTACTTGGGCTTACTAAAAAAAATTGAAGCTGGGCCAGATTGTAAGTTTCTATCTGACTAGGTAAACCATCTAATAACACGCTCTAATTAGGTAGAGACCACGGGTCGAGGAGCCTCTCGGCCTAATACTAATTTTGACTACTTGCGTTGTCAATCTCTAGCTGTTATAAAGTAACTACCAAGAGAAACTTGTTCTCTCTCTCTCTCTCTCTCTCTCTCTCTCTCTCACACACACACACACACACACACATTAACTATGACCATGTATAACCACCACCATTATGATCATTTCTTCCCCTAACAAGGGCACATAATTTTTTAAATGGTTAAAATCACTAAGGTGAGAGCACAAGAGGGGTAGTCTAACGGTTGCATTAGAACTTATTTTCCTTTCTCACACAATGCAACTCCCTTTTCTCCAATCAACCAACGTGCCAACTCCAATTCCCATGCAAACCAACCACTATATTTTCATATATCTGTGCCAAACTCCTTTCCTTTAGGTACACCGCTCCCCATCTTCCTATGGAGGAGCGGGTCCCGCCTACTGGGGAAGGCAACGATGACCCTCCTCCTTGGCTACAACCAAACCCACGGCCACTTCCGCTCCCACCCGGCCGGTCAGAAACTTATGTTGTCCAAATCCCTAGAGATCAGGTCTATCGTGTTCCGCCTCCTGAAAATGCAAGGATCGTCGAAAGCCATCACAAACCACACGAAAAGAAAAGGCAAGGCATCGGTGGTTGTTGCTGCTGGGCATTCGTGGGCTTTGCCCTGGTACTCGCGGTGGTCACCATCACCCTAGTGGTCATTCATGCATTATTCAACCCCAAATCTCCTCAATTCTCCATAACTAACCTTGAGGTGAAGAATACAAAATCTTCTCATCTTCATGCTCATCATCCTTCGGACCTTGAATTTGTAATTTCTATCACAGCTAAGAATCCTAATGAAAAAATGGGTACTATTTCTTACAAAAGTGGTGGAGCCTCCTCAATTTCTTTCAAGCAGCATGTATTTGCAGCAGGAGAGTATCCATCATTCTCCCAAGAAGCCAACAACTCAACCCTCGTTCATGTAATCCTAGCAGGCTCCAAGGAGGCATTGCCTCGTGAGATCGAGAAGAGCATGAATGGCACAAAGTCTAAAACACCAGTCTCTCTAGCTATGGCAATCAACGTGCCAATAAAGATTACAAGTTTGGTGATAACGTTGAACAAGGAGTTGAACTTGAACGTCATGTGTGATTTTAAGGCAAATACATTGGCAAAGGGTACGAAGATTTTATCTCAAGAATGTCACAACAAAACCTAGACCAGAAACAAGGAGGCGATCATGACCATGATCATGATGCTCTATTTTGTCATGAGGTGTGGTAATTGCTGTCATGATCATGATGCTCTATGTGATTTTTCAGTCATAATTTTATGGCGTCTGATTGTCCCATATGCATTTTAATTTGAATATCCTTCGGTGTTTTACAAGTTCAGAAAATTCAAAGAGAAGCATAAGGTGAGATTTATTATGTTTTATGGATTGCATTATTATGAATTGGTTTATTAGATCTGAAAGTAATCAATGGCTTTAAGTAACATGCATTCACAAGATCTACCAAAAAAAATGCATGCAAATATGTATCCCGTTGGACATCTTTTGTACATGTTTACTTTTCGGTTAAATAGAAATATCTTTTAAAACAAAATGCATGCAAATACGTATTACATGCAGCATCCAACTAAAATTTCTGGGTAGATTTTCAGAAAGTCCCTCTTAAGAGAAAAACTATTGATCAAATAAAAAAAATTCTAAAAAACTCACTAGTTTCTTTCCATATATGATAAATGCAAAGAGGAATTTTTGTTGTTAAATTCTTTTTCCTTAGATAAATGATCCAATATGACAGTAGAATATTCTGCCTTTGGAAGCTAATTTCATTCAGCCAATTTTTTTTAATAACATTTGTAACATAATTAAATCCCTTTGTTGGAAGCTAAATTCATTCAATCAATTGTGTTTTTTTTTTGTTTAATATTTTGAATGTCATTATATTCTTTCTTCTTCCTCTTTTCTCTCTTTAGACAATGTATATATCATTTTCTAACTTGAAATGTATACATCACATCTGCAATGTTCGTGCACAAAATTTCCTTTTGGCACCTCTCACTTCATTTTATTTTGTCCAAGTCAGAAGAAGTTGAAGCTTTCTTCTTGTGAAATTCTATAACACTTGGTTACACAATGATTAACAAGTTAAGTTTTTTTTACACTGATTTTGTTTTAAAGTACTTGACCAAAATCCAGTTTGCATGTGAGTACTTATTCAAGTGTATAATACGTTTGTTAGATCTTGTATATCACCTTAAATTTATAGATTATGTGATGGTTTAGTACTTCAAACTTGTGAAAACCAGAGTATCAATCTGAGGCAATCAACAGCCTGAATCAAGCACGGAAAGGGCCAACATTTCGTAGTGGGAAGGACCAACATTTCGGATAGGCAAGGGCTAATGCAGGGCCTAACGTAGGGCCGAAAAGCAAGCATTAATGGATGGTGTAGCTTGTGGGTCGGAAAGCAGCCCCATCAACTAGAATGTTAAGTGATGGCAGATTCACAGATAATCATGGGTATCCATGGTTGTAACTTGGCTTGATGTACCAATGGACTTTTGGTCAAATGATATTCTTTATTTTGTGAAAATTTTGTTTTCTTGAGGTCAAGGGTTCAAAGCCTCATCTCCCTCTCCCTCTCAAAAAAAAAAAAAAAAAAAAAAAAAGCTTGAGGCTACTGGAATTTCCTTCTGAAAGATAAGGTCCTCCTAGAGACCCAAAATTCTACTTTCTTTTTAAACCAAAAGCTTCAAGATTTAGACATGGGCATGAATGAAGTCACTAGTTCCCGTGGGTCAACTCTTCTAATTGTAATTCTAGTTTTACTAATTTTTTTATCAGCCAATGTTTCTTTCTAGTGTGAATAAACGAAGAGTAATGCTATTGTGATCTAAAAAAATTGACTTAATTTATTGACTTAATAATATAATATAATAGTAAAATGTTCTAATAAAATTATTGTGACGGTAAATATTGAACTTTTTTATTGGGACAAGCACTACAAGAAATCTTAGGAAAGCGTGCGTTTGTCAAACGCTGGAAAAGGCAAAACAAACGCCGACAAATCCCATTTCCGGCGGTTTATGGGCATTTTATAACAAACGATGTCTAAATCGCCATCATTGATAAAGATCCCGAAGTTTACTAAAACGTCGAAAAATGTTCATCGGCGCTTACTAAACGCCTGCAATATTTGTCAATCTTCGGTGGAATTTTTTGACGTTTATAAACGCAGGAAATTTCTATTTTTCCTAAAAAAATTATATTTATTTTCTTCTTCTTTACAATAAAATACTAAAATATGTACAATAATATGACACATTACATCTACATCCTTCCTATTTTTCTACCAAATCATCAACTTCAAGCATCCTTACAACCTTGGAAAGTTGCATATCAGGAACTTCTTCTCTTTAAAGATGAACCCAGTTGCTTTAGTACTAGTCATTACCAGTTGTTGTCCTATTTCATTGAGGATACCATATCTATCATATCCGTAGTTGACCATTGAGGCTCTCATTGCCTTGTGCAGTTACAAATGGTTGAATATGACTGCCTTTTTTTTTTTGGAAGGTAAACTATATTCATAAAAGAAATTTACAAGCCGAAACAAAGGGTGATGCTTTCATGACAGTATGCATAGAAACCCAAAAGAAAAACAACTTTACCAAGAATTTGGAATTCTACAGAAAGTGTCGGCCTTGAGATGGTACTTTCATTAGAATCCTGATTCAATAGGAAATAGAGAAGACAAAAAGCCTACATGAACAGGGGTCTGCACATTCAAAGAAGTTTCATGGGTTGCCACTATTAAGCCACTTGTTAATTATGGTAGGAGTTCCTAAATTTCAAGGACACCATCCTATCCCTGATGATTTGCAAAATGCTGTGCAGAGTTGATTCAGGATCTTTTAATTCAGTCGTAAATAACCCGTTGTTTCTTTCTCTCCAAAGGCTGTACACTGTGGCTTGAAGGCTTAATTTCTACAGTACTGTCAATACAGATTTGCCTTTCCAATTTTGAGCAGCCCAAGCAATAAATACTAACCATGTCTTGGGTTGCCAAGTTTGAGTGAGCATGTTCTGTAGCTGAAGCCAAACACTGTGAGAATAAGTGCACTCAAAGAAAAGGTGGGCATGTGTTTCAGCAGCCGCTCTACACAGAATGCAATTCACACCCATACTAGGATTAAAAATCCTATCCTTAGTACTAAGTCTCTAATTAATTGCCAACTATAAAATGAAACTCATTCTAGAACAACTTGTGTGAACCAAATCAGTTTAAACCATGACACTTTTGGGTTTGAGTTCCTAATGACTTCCCAGGCAGATGCAACAGAGAACTTGCCATTGATTGTAGGAGCCCACTTGACACCATCCACTTTGGTCTGCACTACAAAAAAAAAGGTTTTTTTGCATCAGTAATTTGCCAACTCAAAAGATCACATTACTGTTGCAAATAGTATTTGCGACGGCAACGTGATCTTTTGAGTCTGCAAATTTGGGGTGACAAATAATAGGTAATACAAAAGATTTTGCATCGGCAATTAACCATCACAAGAACTTTTGCATCAAAAAAACCCGATGCAAATGTGCCATCGCAAAAAATCTTAGATATGATATTTTTTGTTTGCATCAGAAAATATCTGTCGCAAAAAACCCATGTGCGATGGTTTAAATCCGTCACAAAAGGTATTATTAGCCACAGTTCGGGGCCGTCATTTGCAACGGTTAAAATCTGTCGTAAAAGATACTATTAACCACAGTAGGGGACCGTCGCAACAAACTCATTTACCGCAGTTTTAATCCGTCACAAAAGATATTATTAGTCACAACTGTGGACCATCGCAAAAATCCTGTTTACAATTTTTTTTAACCATCACAAAAGATATTATTTGCCAATGTAGAAGACCAATGTAAAAAATATGATATTACTCTTTTAACGTTATTTGTGTTAGCAACTTGTTTTCATAAATAATTTTTTTTTAAACCTAATTCTTTCTTTCACATGTTTTTCTATACCTGTTTATATATCAAATACATTACGTATAACATCATTTGATTAAAATAATAAGGCATATCTTTCAAAACAAAAGCATCTAAATTTAAAAATAAAAATATATTCAGCATAAGTAAATTACATCCGAAAATTTAAAAACAATATATTCCAAACTACGTAATGAAAGTGTCAATGCATAATTAAAAAATTTAGTCTTCCAATGCACCATTTGCTCTGTAATCATGCATAATGTGTACTCTCTACTCATGCATCATCTAGTCTCTGCGCTATCTACTCATTTGATAGCACCTGCAAAAGATACGATTTGTGTTATTATTGTCAATAATATGTTTGGTTGTAATCATACACAATATGTTTGGTTATGTTATACATATTAATTAAGATTAAACATACATCACTAGACAGCCAAGCAACACTTTTTCCCATTGCCTGCCCAACAGATTTACAAAAGGAAAATGTTTTATCAAATAAGTATTAGGTACTATTGCTTCCTCAACATATACGTTCAAACAATCATGTCTCAATAGTACTCTCTCTTCTTCTTTCGATGGGTCCACACTCAGAAGGATTCCCTTCGCCACTACTTGCCTTGGTAAATGGGAATTAAACAGGTCTACTTTTGTATGAACCTATAACCACAAGTGTTAACAACTTTTAGAAGCCAAAATAAATACAATTGAAAAAAAAATTACAAAATTAAATCTATGTGCTACACATTGTCATACACTATGTTTACCATACGCATGCACCTACCTTAGTATTGTTCAAACCTAGTGCATGCTTTCTCTTTTTCACCCTAACAACACGTGTCTACAAAAAAAAAAAAAAAAGCAGGCAACACTATATTAGTCAGTATAAATAGCAATGTCAAAACTACATTAGTTAGTATTCTAGTTTTTAGTCGAATTCTCTAGTCGAGGATCATATCGAGATCACTTATTTTTCTACATTATTCCACCACCGAAGAGTAGGTGTATGGCTGTTTTTATGAACAATGGATCAAGAACAAGCATTTTGCCAATGCAAAAAAATATGTTGCAAATTGAAAAACTAAGATATTTTCTACAAACCTCTTCACAAGATCATGGACATGGTGAGGGTGTTGGTAACTCGTGGTGCACCTGTATAGATGGTGTACGTCCATTTTCATGTGGCTCTCCGAGTGGCCTATGAGTACTAGATGCAT